GGTTAGTAAGTGGTGGAGAGCCATGATCGCCTACATCATGAGCGGTACGGCACATAAAGAAGAAAATCGTCGTGAATATATTTTCTTATATTATTTACTTTGGGTCTAATTTCTTCATCTGTGTTGTTGCTATGACGACGATTCGGCTGTTGTGACCTCTGGATTTCTACAAGTGTCCGTCCGTCCGAGTAAATTTTTGAACTACACACATTATTCAGTCTACAATGGTAGATAGTTGTTATGTCGACCATGTCTAGACCAGTGAAATAAAGCCATCTTTGAAAATAACTTCATGAATTTGGCAACAGTAATTTCAGGTGCAATCCTTTGGCCATGCACTAGCCCTAACTAAGCAGTACTAGAAAAGATCACAGGAAGATATACCTATATATAGACAGCAGAATCTACCCCGTGGATTAAAAATTACGTTTCGAAAAGATAAGGAAGTTAATCCAATTATTTCCAATGTTTATTGCCATATTCACGACGTTTGGGCCATTGTACGCTCCGGCCTTCTTCAGCTGATTGGAATTTCGAATTGAATCCTTTATTCCCTCCACTGGGGTAGATTGTTCTAGTTCCACATACCATGCCACTTCCGGATGTCTCATTTATCTCCCTTTAACTCAACTCTCCAAGTTTCTGTTTACAATAAAGTTTGTGAACTGACAATTCTTTGGGTTAAGTCATTGGATCCAACCAACGCTATTATCCACTGGACCATGTATCCTTCAGTAAAAATCTACCCCGGTAATTGAAATAAATGCTTCAGTTGGAAATTCCAATCACTTGAAGAAGGTCGAAACCTCGTGAATATGGCATAAAGATGATGATAACATTGCTAACAATGCAAATAATGTAAATACAGTAATTCCTCAAGTATAATACGGCTTCATCCATAATACGCACCTATAAAATTGTGCTGAAAGTGGGAAAATGCTTCTACTCACACATAATACGCACCCATTATTTGGTAATCAAACCCTATAAATCGTATCTTCCAATTTCATTACGACCAGCGTTTATACTCTTATTTAAAACATGGTTTTAAATATAGAATAATATTATTTTTATTTAGTTTCATGAGAATTCTTATTTTATTTTACCTTGGTAAGTATTGTTAGGTGCATATGATTGTATTTGACATCCGTATGGGGCCGCAATCGCCGAATTTTAGTGTCAAATTGTCGTATGTTTGTGGTGATTAGTTATTGCGCAACTGAAATCAACCTATGAAACAGCAATTTCTTTAAAGAATTTTTTCTTTTCCTTTTTTTTTTAGAAAAAAATGCGTATTATACTTGAGGAATTTCTATAATTACAATCTCTGAAATATAGACAGAAATTAACCCATGTTTAAATAATATGAAAAACCTCATCGTGTCTGTAAATTAATTAATGTTATATAAATATACTAGCAGTAGAGCCCGGCGTTGCCCGGGGATGTAACAGTAAGAGATAGATCAAGTATCGACCATCATAAAGACTGAACAATAAAATTGACAAAGATTATTGTTTAAGGTTGACAAACACGCATGTCTTAATTAGTTTTTTTTTTTTTTTTACGAATTGGTCAAACCCAAATTCAAACAAAAACATTGTTTACAATCGTTATGAGTCTATCGATTGGTGAATAGAATTTTATTATAAACAATTGTCTTGTAAATGGAATTTTTAAAGCATTCTGAATGTAAATAAAGAAAAAAGTGTGTGCAAGACAATAAGAAATACTACCTGCCGAAAAAAAGTGGATGTTTGTTTTATCGGCTGAAAAATGTAAGAAATCCGATCCCATATATAAAGGAACACACACACACACACACACACACACACACACACACACACACAAAAAAAACAACCTGGGTTTTTAACCTAAGTCACTCCACGGAATCGCTAAAACATAGAGCATAGTCTGATGAAAAAGACGCTAAAGTTTATGAAAACAAAATTTTATCGTCAAAATGCTTATTTTTTTATGAAGGGGATAGACTAAATTTTTTTTTAATTATTTTTTAAAATTTTTTCCATCTTTTTAAAATATTCTAAATTTTGATTTAAAAAACCTTGTTTCTCTTTGTCGCAACAAGGGGTAGTAAATAACATAGATAATTTTTAGCGCATTTTTTTGTATTTACAGACATTAATTTGGAAAATCTTGCAAAAATAAAAATAATTGTCAGATGTTAATGAAACTTTCAGAAACTATTCACAGATGATCGAAATTATTATAAATATATTTTTTTTATTGAAGTCATGGCAGAAATATTTTTTTTTATATTTATTAACACCCCCATAACTAATTTTATGAAAAACTCTAGAAATTCGAGACCATCTGTTTTAGTGATTACAATAGTTAAAAGCACAAGGCTTTGAAGAATGCAAATCATGTTTTTTGTTTTTTTTTGGCCAACGTACCTGAAAATCAGCTGTGAATTGTAACATACAAAACTCAATAAAACAAATATATTATTTAGTTTCAAATGCTTTTATTTGTTTTAATTTGTGTTTATGAATATGGACAATATTTTCTGAAAGCAAAAATTTTTTTCAATGAAAATTGATTTTTTAATAAAATTATTTCTTATTTCTTTAATTTTAAAAAGATTTTAAAAAAATGTTTAAATTGAATTTAAAAAAAATATTTTAACATTAGTTAAAAGCAACCTTTCAAAATGTCCGTGTGAGATTGTCATTGTCTAGCGCTTTGAAAATTGTATAATTTGGACCAATCAGATTAGCCATGGTAATTAAGAAATGTAATTTTTGTGTTTATAGTCGGACAGTAATTATCAAGTACGGAAGACCAACCAGAATACAATTTAGTTGCATTATTTGAGTTCAGCATTGTTCTCCGCTGTTAAGCCCTTTACTTTTGCAAAACACGTATGGAGAAGTTAGAGTTTTCAATTTCAACTTAGAAGGGTACCTACAAGTAACAGTATCATCTTATGAAATTTAACTACTGCTAAACTTTAATTTATATGATCTTATTTTTATATTAATCTCAGTTATGACATTTTTCCATAAATGAAATATCAAAGTTAATAATAAAATGAATGGAAATACAAATAACACAGTAAAATGTAATAAATGTACATAAAATTATAGTATTTTATGTACACTTCTGATAAAATTTCATAAGAAAGGTACCTAAATTAATTAGATACCTTTTTCTTATGAAATTTAATCTCACTATTAACAGTCTTATTTTTTAATTACTTTATATTTTCCATAAAGCATCGTAAACGTAAAAATGAATGCTAAGTACAAAATAAATAAATAAATAAATAAATAAAAAATAAAAAATTAGAGCGCTGAAAGTTTTCCTTAAAAGTAACAAGGTAAATAATTTGTTCACTTAAATAATTTCACTTCCTTCCATCCGCAGAAAGTATTCTCCTCCCGTAAGTTATCTAAACGTCATGAATGTGCCTTTCGTCAATCGTCAAGCGACGCGAAAGTTTATGACCTGCTTTGTTTTATTTTCAAATTACATTTTTTCGGCGCAGAAGCTAAGTTAAGCTTGGTTCAAAATATTTTAAATAAACAGTATAATATCTGTTTTATTAAAATCAGTTTTGAAAAAAATGATAATTGATTTTAAAAGAATATCAAAGTAAGATTTTAATCTTTTATCAAATCAAAAAAATGATTGAAAATGATTATCTGCCCTTTTTTTTTACCAAAAAAAAACATATTTTTAACGAAAATTTCAGACGTGCTAGGAACGATTAAAAAATGTAAAAAAATACCCCCAAAATACTTTGATCTTTCGTCTTTAATAATAATATGAACATTAGACGATAAAATCTTGTTTTCGTCAAGTTCGGCGTCTTTTTCATCATGCTATGCTCTTTTGCTTACATTTTCGTGGGTGAGTTCTCCCCCTTTCATTCTCACGATGTGTCTTAATCGTGTTTTCAAATTGATTTTATTAAAAAAACTGTATTTTTCCCATTTTCGGCGCCGTTAGAACCCCCACAAGGTAATTTTATGTAGTCCTGTGAAGTTTTGTTGAAAGCGGCTAAAAAATGTAGGAAATTCGATCCAACATATAAACGTTACAGACACACACACACAAACATACACAACCTGCGTTTTATAATAAGTAAGATAATTCTAAAATGTAATAGTTAATTTCATTTTTAAAATATTACTCAGAATTCCTTTTTATTTCTTAATACTTAGTTACAAGGCATAAAAATTCTAGAATCACATGAGACACAATTTGCGCTATCGGCATGCGGACTATTTGTATCATCTTGGTTGTTGTTAGCACAACATTTCTGCCGCTGTGTTCTCTGGCCTTCATCAGGTGTATGTCGATCAGGATAATCGAAAGGGAGTTCCAAATTGAACCTATTATTGAATCTACGGTGTAGGCTATTCTTTAACAGATTTATTATTTTTCTACGGCTTATCAACCCTTTGGAGGTTATTTAAAGCCAGGAAATATTTTTAAATTGCAAGATTTATTTCTTTTAAGATAATAATGGTTTTTGTGATGCAACCCATAGCTGGTGAAGAAGAGGTCACTTTTTAATTTTCCCAAGGGTATTTTTGCCTAAGTGAATAAAACGAATCCTTCGATTTTTAATTCCGATTCGTTTTCCATTACGCCACCCGCACAGCTTGAAACATTTGATAACTTTTATATGTTTGGTGTAGTTCTTCTATTAAACTTATAATTAAAGTGCAGGCATTATTTTAACTGACCCACGTGTTTTCAAATTCATACTCGATTTATCTCCGAAGTTGGCCTTATATAAAACAATATACAGTACTGGGATCTTGAATACTACTTAGATAACCTTCATCATACAGCATGGTTTTCTTGTGCTAACTTTGATAGTATTCGCACAGCCACTCTAGCTTGCGTTATAGGGGAATGTAGAAAAAATTAACTGTGGCATTCACGAAATACCACAGGGCAAATATAGGCCGACACAGAACAAACACAACACGATATCTGTAATGGAGTATAGAACATTAATAAATATCTACGATAGATAGATAGATAGATAGATAGATAGATAGATGAGGAGGGACAGTGACAGATAAGGAGAGACAGTTATAGATAGAAATATAGATAGACAGATGAGGACAGACAGTGATAGATGAGAGGCGACAGTGATAGATAGATAGATAGATAGATAGATAGATAGATAGATAAATAGGAGAGACAGTAATAGATAGATAAGGAGAGACAGTGATAGATAGATAGATAGATAGATAGATAGATAGATAGATAGATAGATAGATAAAGGAGAGACAGTAATAGATAGATAAGGAGAGACAGTGATAGATAGATAGATAGATAGATAGATAGATAGATAGATAGATAGATAGATAGATAGATAGAAAGAAAAGGAGAGACAGTAATAGATAGATAGATAGATAGATAGATAGATAGATAGATAGATAGATAGATACTGAACTCAAGATTAAATTTGTGAAAAATCTTCTAAGGAAGATTGACATGTTCAAATCCTCTAATGCATACTTAAATTTATATTTTGAATCTATCGAATGAGACACGATGGTCTAATTGATAGCGGCTCGGATTGAGGAATCAGAGAGCCGAGTTCGAATTCCAGTGGGATCCATTACATTTCACTTACGTGCTAATACCCTTCTCCCCCAACTCTGAGTAAATAGCAGGGTTCTATAGCCTTGGATGGCAACTAGTCTACCGCAGAAAGAAATGACAACCTACAACGGGAAAAAATATGCTTCATCAGTCATGTATAGAAAGATACCTGATTACCTAAGCGTGTATCACGCAGGGCACATAAATGACTGAGGTCCAAGTACCTTTCGGAAAAATGTATTATATTTTTTTCAAATTCACTTCATGCAATTCAATAAAACCCCTAATTCAGGGGTTGATTGATAAAGAGTTAGAAAACAGAAACATTACTTAGGAGCGAGAACAATAGAAGAGTAATCAGGAAGACAGTAGATAATCATTGACATTATATCCAAATTTTTGAAGATCAAAGTTGGATGGAAATCATAGATTCGAGCACTAGTCATATTGAATTTACCATATCATCAAGTAAATAAATAAAGTAATCATCATAAAAATATGGAAGCATGAACATCACGTTGAACCAGGAACAGAAAACCATAACGCTAATATTCTCTTGAAAATTATCATTCATCAAATAGAGATATACGCTAATAAAAGTGACATAATGATTAAAGCCTACAATATCATTCATATAAATAGAGATATATACGCTAATAAAAGAGACATAATGATTAAAGCCTATAATATCATTCATATAAATAGAGATATATACGCTAATAAAAGAGACATAATGATTAAAGTCTACAATATCATTCATAGAAATTGAGATATATACGCTAATAAAAGGGACATAATGATTAAAGTCTACAATATCCTTCATACAAATAGAGATATATACGCTAATAAAAGAGTTATAATGATTAAATTCTACAATATCATTCATACATATAGAGATATATACGCTAATAAAAGAGTTATAATGATTAAATTCTACAATATCATTCATACAAATAGAGATATATACGCTAATAAACGAGTCATAATGATTAAAGCAATTTCACAGCGGTGGGAAAGTGACTGCAGCCGAGACGCCAGTTCAGAACCAATAACATTGTTGATTCTTCTTCGGATTTCATTACGAAACTCTAAATATTTAGCAGGAACGCCGGACCATATTTGGCAACAATATTCAAAGCATTTTAAAAGATGTCTGTGGTTATTTCTGTCCTATTCAAAGTTTTTTTCTTTTTTCTTTTTTTTTCTTTACTTAACTACAAGAACACAGTTGAAAAATGAAACAACTGAGTAATTAACTACATAATTAGATGAATTTATAAGATAGAATTACGATGCAGGATTTTGGAATGAGTCCAAATCATTTGATTATTCACTTTTATACTATGCCTCTCGATTTATCGTCTTGCACGTTCAAAAACACTTCTTTATCTCTCTTTACATGTATGCAAGTCTACAACTGCTGATCTCTTTATATCAAACTGTTCATACACAAAAACTGTTTTTAAATTACATCAATTTATATATATATATATATATATATATATATATATATATATATATATATATATATATATATATATATTGATTACTTTTTGTCTATCTATGATTCAGTAATTCTTGTTCAAGCCAACTGTCATGCACATTATTGGCATAAATTCTATTTACCTCGATATACCTTTTACATATACCAATTAGTTTTCATTTTTATATGCATATAAGAATGCTCTTTTCCAAAGATTTTAAAATAGTTTTTTTTAAAGCATATAATTTTTTTAAAAAATGTTATTAAATAACGGACTGTTTCATTCGCTATCATTCAAATATAACAAAATACAAAAATAATAACTTGTTATCAAAATATATATGGAAAATAAATATATAAAGGAATACACCTTGAGTCGAATGGTGTATAATAAAGACTATGTAGAGAAACAGACGAATAATTTCACTCCGTGTAGGAAGGAGAAAGTAAATATTATAGAATAAAAGAATGTGAATGAATTAATAAACAAAATGAATTTAATTACTATCGTCACGCTGATGCCTTCTTTTTGAAGATGTCATACAAAAGTAACGACCTGGGGAGCGTCCAACATAAACAAACGTTCATTTTGCAAATCGCAAAGCACGAAACAAGTAGTTAATGCGTAAATAAATAAAAAAAAAATTGTGACTGTGTATTTGTTTATTTGTGTTAAACAGGTATATGTTAACGATGGATGTAACTTCACAGTTCCTGCTACTGACTCAGTAAATGATAGTTATAGAATATGTAATTGTGCAGTCTGAGGTTTATGAACAACTTTAACCCTCAATATCCTATTCATTTTCTCTGCTTATATAAGTTACACTCTCTCCAGTGTTCACTATGTAAAGATTTGCGAGGGTTTCCGTGTCTCTTTAAGGCCATTCCCGTGACAAGTCCATGAAAGGTAACAGGTATTCTCAGATCTGTTTTTGGAGTTCATTTGACATTCATTGGAAAATACCACTCAATCTCCCACGGATAAAATAAAAGCAGCCGCAATTTCTCTTTCGATACATGACAGACGAGGAAGATTTTTCCCCCAGAAGGTTTCTTTCTGCAGTTCTAGAAATGGTCTGTCCTGCTAATTCCCCATGGAAGAAGAGGATCCATAGCTTTTCCAAACGGCATTAACAAGTAAGTAAATGTAATACATACGACTGGAATTTGAACTCGGCTCGCCGATTCCTCAATTCGAGCCGCTATCCATTACTCCACCGTGCCTCCTTTTATTTATTAATCCGATATATTTTATCACTAAACATGGATACGCATATTTGAATAGACACTTCGATTATTTTTTAAAAGCGTATTTTTTCCAATATTCAGGTTGCTATACGAAAATAAAAAAAAAAAAGTGGAATGTCCACTCATTTATGGGTACTATTGAAAATAATGTTTAAAGTGATAAAAGAAGCAGGTGCTCATGTGTGAACAAATATTTAAATAAACGACAATAATAATAAAAAATTATTATACACAAAATATAAAGAAACAAATAAATTTACATCAAATAAGCTGAATTAGGAAAGAATAAAAATGAAAGGAGAAGGAACATTTATAATTAAGTGATAGGAACGTGTAAACTGTCGCAGAGCTTAGACGTACATTTGCGTTCCAAGCCAATCTATTTAGTCAAATATATCGTTTTTTTTTGTTTTTTTTTAAGTCAGCAGCGCATAAAAAAGGAAGCATCTTTCAGATTTTTTTGTAGCTAAAAGTCTCCTCTATTCCTGCCCGGTGGGTTTAGAAGGTTAAAAGACAACAGAAAGAAATATTTACTTATCCAGTTACAGGCAGATCGAACAACACACTCAATTTTATTTTCATTACATTCAAGGTAGATACATAAAAAAAAAAAAAAAAAAAAAAAAAAACCCAAAAAAACTGTCTTTAAAAGATTCGACCGCTACCAAAACATACCAGATAGAAAGCAAATTTATCAAATAGAGAAATGGGTCATGTGAGAAATTAATACAATTTAGAAATCATAAGCCTATTAATAATAATGCAATATGACGTAGAAAATTTGAATGTGAAAGAATGTAGCATCACTCGCGTATTTACGGATATAATCAAAGGACATTCGACTGATTTAAAATATTTTTTGAAATTCCTTTGTTTTAGATTCATTCTGACTACTTAAATTTTCTAAAATGTAAAAATTTATGAGCGTTGTGATTGACAATAATCCAAATCCTCTTCCTTTATTTGGTCTCAAATGTATTCTGTATAATCGCTCACCAGTGAGGCTATCCATACTTTTTTTTTTACAACTAATGTAGTTTAGTTTTACAGACTACAACCAATGTTGAATGATCTTTGTTAACCTTCAGGTAATTTCTCCAGGGAATGCGGTCAGCGCTGCTATTTAATCCATATCTGAAGGCAGAAGGGAAGGATCCATAACTTTCCAAAGGTTATTTGTGTGATAGTAGAACTCGAACTAGGCTCAGTGATTTCTCAGTTCATGCATTTATTATTATTATTATTATTATTATTATTATTATTATTATTATTATATTTTCTATGAGTTTCAGACGTTTCAACCGTGTAATGGTTCTTAGCTCATGCCCAGAACCTAAAGAAATAACAACTTTTCCAACACATACTCCCAATTATAACCGGTACCCCCAAAGTGTCTTGTGCAAGATTACTGGAAATAATTCCTCGTATTAATTAGACGTTGTGATTATTGTTATTATATGCCAAGTATAATATTAATGATAATAATAAAAATTTCGCAACCAGATCTTACCATGTCACATGAACAAGGATGGAACTATCTTGCGATGCGGAATCTGCGGAAGATATGATTAAACTGTCGATCATATTTTCTCAGGATGTCCGGAACTAGCAAATAATAAATATACCCACAGAAATAACAAGGTAGCTACATAAGTGCACTGGAAGATATACAAGAAACACAAAATCGAAACCACTGAGAGATGGAATGGCCACCAACCAGACACGTTAACCAAAATAACGGTGAAACAATCCTCTGGAACATGCCAAATTCAAAGTGACAAGAAAAATAAAAGCCAACATACCTAATATTTTCATAAAAGACAAGAAATTCAGGAAGTGTATGCTTATTGACATTGCAGTACCATTTGAGAGAAACAACTTCATGAAAATTATCGAGTTATTGTCCAAATACAAGGACCTGGAGATCGAGATTAACAGTATGTGGGGAATGAAGACTGAGACTGTACCAATAGTAATCGGAGCACTGGGCCTCGTGAGAAAAGGAGTGGACCAATTTATTAACATTGTCCCAGATAACATTACCGTATATGTTGCCCAGAAGATCGCCCCACTAGGAACATCCCATATACTAAGAAAAGCCAATTAAATGACAATTCTCCTATAGGACATAAGGACCATAGTTTGGAACCGGCTCTAAAGGATACAATGCGGGAAACATAACATACACTAATAATAATAATAATAATAATAATATTTTTCTTTTTGTCAGTGGAAAGTGTCATGATGCCATTTATAACCTTAGGTCTCTAAGCGGGACCCGGAAAGTAATGTGTAAACGCCAGAAATCAAATGAAATAATAATAATAATAATAATAATAATAATAATAATAATAATAATAATAATCCAATATCTGCACTTGAAAATCTGCAACTTCTACGGGAAGGAAACTGAAAGAAACTGGTATGAACACCACCCAGACGCGGTTACGGAGATAGGACCTGTTACAATTCTATTGGACTACACAATACACACTGACAGGACAATCAAAGCCAACCGCCCAGATATTGTTATTAAAGACCACAAACAAAAACGATGCCTCCTTATTGATATGGCAGTCCCTGCTGACTGCAATGTATCTTTGAAGATATTCAAAAAGTTGTCAAAGTACAAGGACCTTGAAATAGAAATTTCGAAAATGTGGCATATGGGAACATCAACAATCCCTGTTGTAGTTGGAGCCCTAGGACTGATTGGAAAAGATTGCAGTAAACTACTTGAAGGGACAAGTACAGCCCACACCTTACGAAGGGCTTTATCTATGTAATTTAATTTTTTTTTTTTTGTC